ACCAATTGAGTCTAATAACAGATTAAATGCCATGTTGAGGCTGTCATTTTTAGCATCTACATGGATGTTAAAATCACCCACAATGTCTTTGTGTGCTCGGTCGCCGTTCCCGGAAATGTAAAATAAAGATCATTTTTTGAATTTTGACCACTCTGAGCCCAGTCTTTTTCGGCCGCCAAAAGAATGCAAAGGACTAAATTGAATACCCCCCTGCTCTGTGTCCAGGCCAACCTCCGAGTTCCTCCTCTAGGTTGACACCCTGAACTGTCCTACTCTGCTCAGGAGCTGGGCTGACTACTTCAGTTGTCATTTATTGTTTGTTGGCCTTTCCTGCTCCCTGTTTTTGGTCATGTTTATGATTCTTTGTCACTGGGCCGGTGACCCTGTGTTTTATGTTATTATTAATCTTTGATTTCAACATGGTTTTTTACTGTTAGTGTTTTGGTTTCTGTTTTGTATTTCTAGCTCCCTAAGTTCTGTAGTATTTCTTGGGTTTTGTTCCTGTGCCCCTCATATTTAGTGTAGGTTCTCTCCATGTTTATTTTCTTGTTCCCCAGTCAGTCGTGTCTCATGTCAGTCCTGTCCATGCGCTCCGTGTTCACTCTGTTCAGTCTCAAGTCCGTGCCTCTGTGCCTGTCCCATGTTTCCTGTTTTATTTTGATAGTCCCTTTCCTGTGTTCAGTGTTTTGAGTTTTGCTTTTCCCCTGTCTGGTTACGTCTGATTAGTCCCAGCTGTGTTTCCACTTGTTACCCACCCTCTCGTTATCCTACCTGTGTATTTTAGTCCTCAGTCTTCCCCTTTCTCTGCCCTGTTATACCCTCTCATTGCTGTGTGCTACTTTTGTGGTTTAACTTGGTAAACTCCTAGTCTCCAGCTTCTTCATTCTTCCTTCTCTGTTTCCAAGTTTAGTCTCCTAGTTTCTAGTTATTATGTTCTGTTTCCTGTATTTTGACATACATTAAAAGCTGCCTCTTTTAGTTCATCCCTCCGTGTTCTGAGTCTTGCGTTTGGGTCCAATCTCCTGCTTGCCACACAATAAACATGACATTTTTGTTAAACTTGGTCTTGGTATCCTGCATTTCGAGACCTCATCCTACACACTCCACATTATGAGATCCTAAATCTTAGTATTCAGGGGACAAAAGAGTAACAATTCTAACAGATACATAAATTATATAGACTGATGATCTATAATATAAATCTTGTCACCGAAGGATGCAGGTACAGTTTAATGCTTTGAAGCTTCTGAAACCTATGTCATCACCAAGATAACATAGACTTCAGGGGCAAAACAGCGAGACATAGTAGTGACAGAATCCTTAAAGATATACGGAAGAAATGGCAATGAAAACAAAGTCAAGAATTGAGAATTGGAGAATAACTTCAGGTCTTCCTGACATTATCTTGTTCTCAGGTTTCATTGTTTTACCTGTTTACACACTTTATTCCACAGAGACAGAAAAGGAAAAAGCAGGGCTGCAAGCAGAAGTTAAGAGCGAGAACCAGAAAAAACTAAATCAATGGATGTTAAGACAAGAGGACATAAAGAGAGGGATGCAGCAGACAGGCACACTCTGATGATCCATCATGGCTGAACGCAATCCCAGCAGTGACAGGGTTTAGAACAGGACTCCCCGGAGTCTAGACACTGGTGTTGGTGAGGATGCAGCCTGAGGTTTGGATGGAGCTCTGAGGCGATATGGAGATGGGGAGAAGGTGGGCTGCATGAATGAGAGTCTAAAAGGGAGAATGGCAGAGAGCACAGATTTAAACCAATCAAGGTGGAGGCTGATTGGCTCAAAGAAGCCAGACAGGATGATGACTGTTCTAGAGTCATGATGCCAATGTGGAGATTGACTGTGTGGGAAAGTGGTAGTGATGCAGATGAGTGAGCTTCATAGTTGAAAAATATTATTTGAAAAAATAAATGGGTAGTTTAAACAATGAGTTCTTGATCTCAGCTTGTCAGTTGGTCACTTTTTAATATGCTGGGAAGTGTTCCACATCAGCATAATGCAGTTTCAGGAAGCATTACATGATGTGAAAGAGAGGCATGTTGTGCATTAAGATAGAACTTCATCTTTTTGCACACTGTCTAGAAAATTGTTTCCCAACAATAATTTTTTGGTTTATTAACAAACTTTCTAAAAGTCTAAGTTAGTCCCAAACATTTTACTTTGGTGACGCTGTATGAGTCGTTCTTTTAAAAGGTGTGAATCTTTAGTAAAAGTATATTATAGTGATGCTGGCTATAAAATGGGCAGTGTGTTATCAGCATTTCTCAGACAAAAAAAAATAGTGGAAGGACAAAACAGGAAAACTAGTCAACAACTTTTTCCTTCAAGTGAGAAAATTGGATATTTGCATTTTGCAGACTTGAGATAATTCACAATCATCTTTTTAAGAAAAGATTCCTCACTGAAGCATATTTTATGTATATTCTGGTGCTTAAACAAAAAGCTCTACAAAAATTCCCCAAAGTTTAAATGATGCCAAAATACTGAGATGTTTTTGGTGCCTTTCATTAAAGATGCTTTTGTTGAAGCTTACTCCTGTGTTAACACTAGACACATTAACTCTCTAAGTTTTCATCAGTGACAACCCAAACCGTAGGCCCAAACGCTAGTCCTAGGTTTTGGAGAAAAGCAAAAGCTCATCTTTTGAGAAAATGAAAATAATTTGTGTGCAAGTTGGAAGTTTTTTCTTATTATTTCAAGTTTTGACAGTCTTGTATGCAAACTAAAATCATGTATTCTTTTTTTTTTCTTAGAATTTCAGAATTTTTATATTATTCTCAGAATTATCAGAAAACAATCTGAATTCTGACAAAATAATTTCAGAAATCTGACATTCCCAGATTGGAGGAGAATTAGTTACACTGAAAAACAATGGGGGGGATCTTTTTTTCCCCAGAATTCCAGAAAATCATCGGAATTCTGAGATTAATGTCAGAAATTCTACAAAAAGGATTATGACCACTATAAAAAAACAAAAAACAAAAATGTGGGGGGCTTGGAATCTTTTTTTTTATTTTTATAAAGACTGTGGTTTCAGTCACTTTTTGGTTTGGGTTAGACTCTTCCTTCCCACATCCTATCACAATATTAAACAAATAAGGAGGTAAAATGTTTTCCCTTCTTCACTGACCACCTCCTGTGCAATAAAGATATTACTGCAGACTATATCTGGCTGTGGTCTCAAATTTTGTATTTAGACTATCACGGGACTTCCGCTAGAGCAGGGCTGCCCAATCCCAGTCCTCGAGAGCTACTATCCTGCAGCTTTTAGATGCATCCCTACTCCAACACAGCTGAATCAAATGGTTTGATTACCTCTTCAGCATGCCATCGTGTTTGGCAAAGGCCTGATAACAAGCCATTCATTTGATTCGGGTGTGTGGGAACAAGGATGCATCTAAAAGCTGCAGGACAGTAGTTCTCGAGGACCGGGATTGGGCACCCCTGCGCTAGAGTATATCATACTAATGTCTATATTTATTTAAGTCACTTCAGCAATTTTCCGATCGACTGCAGTTTCACTCATTTGATTAAAAGAACTTGGTTGGATACTGCTGTTTCATGCTTGGATCACTTTTTCACACAGATATTGAACACAGCACACCTGCAGTACTTAATACCACCACATCAGTGATGTATGATAACATACCAAAGTGCATATCTATGTACACAAATAAATCATAAGACCCATAAGACATATTTGCACAAATGCAGGAACTTTCAAAGTTTGATCTCACACACTTTGGTCACCTGAAGTATCATACTTCTGAGCAGGTACTTTGCAACTGAGAGCAAAAAAACCAGAGAAAGTTACATCTGATTTTGCATTTCCTTCAAAGCCTCTATTGGTGATCAGCCATAGTTGAACATGCCCATATCCCATGCACATAAAACAATATTATCTGTTGGTTATTTTAACCAAAGCAACAGTTTTGCTCAGGCATGTGTGCATGGAACATGTTCGGGGCCTAACATTTGCATGTTTGTGTGTTTTATGCTGTAAGGAGTGCTGCAGAAGTGACTGATGGCTCACAGTACTTTGTGCTGCTGATGATCACAGACGGCGTCATCTCAGACATGGCTCAGACTAAAGAGGCAGTTGTCAATGTGAGTATACATAGCACACTACACACAGAACATTTAATTGAATGTAGAGGCAGCACATCAGTGGGATCCACATCAACCCAAGACAGGTGATATGATGTGTAAAGTCTTGTATAATAGCATATACTGTGATGAACGCAGCTATCAAGTCTGAAAAGTGTTTGTTAGTAAGAAAGTGCCTGCTTTTTCAGAAGTCCTTTAGATTTAAAATGGCCTGGCCTGTATTTGTATAGTGCTTTTCTAGTCCCTAAGGACCCCAAAGCGCTTCACACATCCAGTCATCCACACATTCACACACTGGTGATGGTAAGCTACATTGTAGCCACAGCCACCCTGACAGAAGCTAGGCTGCCGGACACTGGTGCCACCGGGCCCTCGGACCACCCTCTGACCACCACCAGTAGGCAACAGGTGAAGTGTCTCGCCCAAGGACACAACGACCGAGACTGTCCAAGCCGGGGCTCGAACCGGCAACCTTCTGATTACAAGGCGAACTCCCAACTCTTGAGCCCGGCTCAATCGTGGCTCAAATATGAACAGAAATAAAAAAAAATGGGGGGAAAAAGAAGAGGAGGAAAAAGTCAGAAGTTGATTACCTCATGTAGACTTACCAGTCACAGCTGTAAGCGCTGACATAAACAAAGTCAGGCTTGCCTCAAATCACACTTGGAGGAGTACATGTGGAGTACCAGAGGCCTGAGAGCTTCAGGGTTCTGCACAGTATCTTTGCTGTTCCCAGGACTGCGCTCTTCTGGACAGAGATCTCGGATGTCATTCCTGAGATATGCTGGAGCCACTGGCCCAGGTCACTGCCTTGTTTACCACAAGCACCACTTTTGCCTTCACCCTCCATATCTTCTTGAGCTCCTCTCTCAGCCTTTGGTATTTCTTGAGTTTCTCGTTTTCCTTCTTCTTCATTTTGCTATCATTTGGTATAGATAGATCTATTACTACACCTGTCTTCCTCTGCTTGTCCACCACTTCTCTTTCCGGTTGGTTGGACATTACTAGTTTGTCCGTCTGTATTTGGAAGTCCCACGGGATCTTATTCGGTCATTCCCAACCATCCTGGGGCACATATCCCATTATCACTTCAGGACTTCCAGGCTATGCTCGGCACTGATGTTTTTGCTGTTATGTGCTGGATTGTCTCAGAGGCATCTTTACACAGCCTGCACCTGGGGTCTTACCTGGTGTGATAGACCCCAGCCTCTATGGACCTTGTGCTCAGAGCTTGTTCTTGTGCTGCTATGATCAGTGCCTCTGTGCTGTCTTTCAATCCAACTTTGTCCAACCACTGGTAGGATTTCTAGATGTCAGCCACTTCCTCTATCTGATCACACAGTTTTTTTTTATTGGTATGTGTATGTGTCTAAATTATTAGGGATCAACTAGGTAGTTAGTTTAACCATTGCCATGACTAGCATGCAATGTAGAGAATCTCAAAGTTGTACTGATCAATATTAAAACGAATAATAACGGAAATATGGAATGTAAGTATTCTCTGTGTTACCCCAGGCAAACTGGCTTTTTGTGAAGTTAATGGAAGAGAACAGATGGCTGGATGGATGGAAAATATTTTGATTTACACATACTGTGGTTAACTACCAAGTGTCTGATCGACAAAATGTGTTTGTATTGGACTTAAATTAGATGCTACTGCAGAAGTAAGAGAAACAGGCAGAGACAAAGACTGGTACTAATTCCATAATGTTCTGGAAAAAAAAAACCCACAACTGAAGTTCAGTCAAGCTGTATCAGGTAAAGCTAGCTTTTCACTGGTATGCCATTCTGTATATTGCTGCATTACTGTGTAAAACTGTCTTTCAAGGAGTGGGGGAACTGTAATCTGTCTCGTATTCATTCTATGCTCCTTCCACAGGCAGCCTCTCTGCCAATGTCTGTCATCATAGTAGGAGTGGGCCCTGCTGAGTTTGATGGTAAGTACTTGTGTGTGACATGGAAGAGGGGATGTGCTGAGTACTTTCACGCTGACAGATACATGTCAGAGACGTCATTATTTGTTTCACAAATACAATCGAGCATCTGTTTCTTTGCTGTGCTCCATTATGTAGCACTGTTAAAACCAACTGTTAAAACCAACCTTGCAGGAGCAAAGCACATTCCAGCCTATATAGTTTGTATTCCAGGGCACAAACCTCATTGGTTCCTACTTACAGTATATGTCTGTAATATCATTCAGTTCTCCACATGGTTTAATCATTTAAAATGGAGCTGTAGTAACCCACAGAAAATGTCAGCCTCAGTACATCCAAGGAGATAAAAATGTCCCAGTGGAAAACCCAACCTATTTAAAATGAATACCAAATACAAACCGGCATGAAAAGTCAAATGGCTCCAGGACATTACAAGAAATAATTAAATTTGGGCTCTTGAGAGAAAAAAAAATTACAGACATGTGGTTCCAAACGAGATCAGAGATTTTCCTTATTTCCTCCTTTTCCTCCTGTTCCTCATGTTCTTAAATGTTTTTGGTTAATCACAGCAGAGCATTTCCTGAAGAAAATGTCCTGTGACTGCTGTAAAGCTGACTGAAGCAAATAGAAATATGTATGTGTGTGTGTGTGTGTGTGTGTGTGTGTGTCTGTATTTGTTAATGTGTGTGTATAATGTGTGTGCTTCACAGAGCAGGTTCACATTTTTTATTTTTGGTCTTGGACAAAGCCTCACAGACATCCGTCCAGAACTTTTGTATTTTGGGACAGGACCAAAACAAGGTGGCCTCTGCCAATTTACATCTTTCGCACGTTGGGTCAATCAGAGGATACATCTTTGCCAATTTCGATTTGCTGAGATGGACCCTATGCACTATTTTAAACTGCAGAAGGCAATGTCTTGCACACATGGAGGACGAGTGAATATTACTTAAAACATTGCCCCAGTCTGCTTCAGCAGGATCGCTTAATTGCAGACATAGAAGAAGAACCCAGGCGCAAAATCAGAACAAGTATTGATGATATGGCCTTTTTCTTAGCTGGGTTAAAACACATAATGTCATCCATTACATCATTAGGGGTTTATTTGGGAACCCTGGGATAGAGCCTGAAAGAAAGTGTCGTATTTGTAGATACCTAAAAAAACGAGAGGGGGGTAAGTTGTATTTATTAGTCAGCTGTTCAAATGAGGCAAACGATCTTTTAAAGATCTCAGCCCTCGCCTCTGCTAGCCCTGAAATGTGGCATCAGACATTGAAGGGGAAAAAACATAGTTGGAAGCTACTGGGCTGCCTAAGCACATCTTCAGAAGAGCAAAATGTTTTCTAAACTGAAAGCAAATCTGGATAATATTATTAACTACAGGATTCTCAATTGTCAGGCTTTTGGGTAACGGGATAGATGCACCTACGACAGACAATAGCAAGAAAGAACCAGAAGAGAGCTTCTCCATTTCTACCCATACGGGTCCGCTGCAATCGTGCTGATAGTGCAGCCAGTAGGTCAGACAGCGTAACAGCCCAGTAATAATAACAGAAATTCGGTAGAGCCAGGCCTCCGTCTTGCTTTGACTTTTGCAGATGTGTTTTATGCAAACGTGGTTTCTTATTGTTCCAAAGGTATGATGTAATTGCAGAGTCCAATTTCTTAAAATAAGCATTCGGAATGTATAAAGGGAGGCTTTGAAACAGATAAAGATATCTGGGTAATACAGACATTTTAACTACATTCACTCTCCCAACTAACGAGAGATGAAGCGGCGACCATTTTGACAAGTCTTGTTGCATACTGAGGTGTAACTTGGTAAAAATTTCTTTAAAGAGATCACTGAAGTTTTTCATCACAGTTATGCCTAGATAGACAAAACTGTGCGTTGCAGTCTTGAAGGGAACAGTAATGTTCGCTAATGTGGAAAGAGGCATATTTAGAGGCAGTAATTCACTCTTGTGTAGATTCAATTTATAGCCTGACACAAGCCCAAACGTATCAAAAAGTTCAAGAATGTAGGGAATTGTTACCTCAGCCTTGGACACAAACAGCAGGAGATCATCGGCATAGAGAGATTTTTAGTTTTTGCTCAGTGCCATATCGCGAAATGCCTTGAATAACATGACTACTTCATATAGCTATTGCCAACGGCTCAATAGCTAATACAAAAAGGAGGGGGCTGAGGGGGAAACTTCCAAACCCAAATCTTTGCAAGGCCTCAAATAGATATTCCCATTCTACTCTAACTAGTACAACACACAGTGAAATGTTTTTTCCGGCTAAAAAGTAC